TAGCAATTCTACACAACATAGTTTCTATAGCAATTTTTTTTTTTTTTTTTTTTTTTGTGCGCTAGGGCTGCCTGGGGCCATGCCCGGGGGTCATGCCCGGCCGGTCACCCGGTCCTCAATCCGGGCGTGACATCGGGACCCGGGCGCCCGGGATATCTCCCTAGCTGAATATAGCTTAATCCATTTTTCCTTTTGTTTTGTGAAAAACGGGCCCAATGCCCCAGGGTTCGGTTATAAGATTGGTTACAATGATGATACTAACCAGGGCCATTACCCAGCTTCGGCTTCAGTAGACAAGATCTGTCATGCTGGAAGGCAAGTCCAGCATCCCATGGAACCTTGACTGGGATCCATGATGATAGGAAATAATATGAAATATGGCGCTTGTGCAAGGAAGATGAGCAATAGCGAACTCCAGCAATCAAACAGCGTCATACATATGAGTCCAGAATCCAGATAGTCTTGACCTCGAACCAACAGCAGACGTGCATCACCAGATACACCAAATAAGAACACACCAAGAGTTCATAATTGACAATGCTGAAGTAGTCCCATCATCATCAACGAAGAACCAGAGTTGATATCCTATTGGCGCTCGGCGCCCAGACTACATGTGGCAGATCCTATCTAGCCTAGACTACGAAGCCGAAAGATGACATCAACAGCATTCCCGAAGTACGAGCATATGGCGAACAATGTCGCACGCTTCAGCACCAGGTATGTCTCGCACTACACTCACAACCTCGTTCCCCAACTCACAGATGCCACTAGCACCCAAGGACCACCCTGCGCTTCACCCAGCTTACAGCAGCGCAGCTCGGCTATGGCTGCGTGCWCCTTCCCTGCTCGCCCGTGAGAGCGTAGGCGCCAGCCAGCAAATAGCGCAGCAGCAGCGCTTGCGCAGCATGCAGCCAGCACCCGAATGCCAAATGAGGAGGCAGGCCCTTCCCTATATCGAAGTGGCCTGCCTGCGTCCAGTCCAGGAAGCTTCCAGTAGGCCCCGGTAGCCTGAGGCCCAGTCACGAGGAGAGCAGGCCTTGGGCCTGAAGTGGTTGCATGTGCCCAACTGCTTTCGGCCTGTGTTTGGCCCGGTACCCGTATCCAACCCACGGCCTGCTTCACGTACATTCACACAGGTGGCCCAGGGCCTGGGTTCACTCAACCAACTGGCGCTACGCAACTGCCTGAATTTCCCTGAGTTGCGTGGTGGCCAGAAAAGGGCCCTGAGGGCCTCGTCGAGCCTGCCTTCACTTAGGGCGGCCGACGGGCTGCAAAAATGGGGGCCATATGGGGCTCTTAGAGGCAGTGGCCTTGCATTCCCTCCTCCTTAGCTTCAACTGTCCTCTGAGAAGCTCAATCTTGGATCATGGGGCGCTTTCCCTTCTGCAGGGATCTCTCATATTGAGTCACAACTTGAGGAGCGGTCTGCATGAGTTCTTCCCTGGTGAACCAGCGATCCTCCTTTGGATCAGTGTGATGTCGGAACCGAACGCGGTACTGCAGCTTCGGTTTTGGAGGACGTCCCCTGCCTGCTGGTCTTGACACCGGCAGCTCTCTGTGATCCACAATATCATCAATGTCCACCTCTCCGTCCATGGTTGGGGGCAGCATTGAGCGACGAGATGGGAACTGGTCAGTTTCTTTGAAAGGTGCCAGCTTGGAGGCGTGAAAGACAGGATAAGTACGAAGATGACCAGGAATCCGGACAACATATGATGGCCCATCCGGATCTGTCCAGACGATGTCCAAGACTTCCCAAGGTCCAAAGTACTGAGGCATGAGTTTGCGGGACATCCCGTACTCCTGTCCCAGTTCTGAAGACTTAACCCAGACTCTATCCCCAACCTGAAATGTAGAAGGCCGGCAGTGTCTGTTTTCGGACTCTATCATCGCTGCTTGTGCCTTCTGCATCTGTTCTACCGCCTGCTGCATTTTCTGTTCATATCTGTAGGCGAACTCTAACGTACCCGGTGCAGCAGTTGATTCATTCTCAGATAGGAGAAAGTCAAGAGGTAGTTTAGGCTTGAAAGTCTGTAGTAGACTGTTCGGGCTCACCCCAGTGGCGCTGTGTACCGCATTGTTATACAGACTGGCGATGAGAGCAAGCTTCTCATCCCAGTCCACCTGGTTGGGCTTGATGTAATGCCTCAACAAGTGTTGTACAGCGCGGTTCAGTTGCTCAGCCTGGCCGTTAGCCTCTGGGTGATTCCCAGAAGTCATTTGCAACTGAGTGCCCTGCTCCGCAGCAGCGGCCTTCCACAACTCGCTGGTAAACCTGACATCCCTGTCACTAACAATGGACTTCGGTAGACCAAAGTCCCTGACCCAGTTCTCTTTAAACATTCTAATCGCGTACTCCGTCTTTGCTGTTTCCGGCATGGCTACTAACCTAGCATACTTACTAAATCTATCCACGATGACGAAGATGTGACACATTCCACTCTTGCTGGTGATCAGAGTATCCATGAAATCCATGGACATACTCTCACCAGGCCGTTCCGGAATTGGAAGGGGCTTCAGAAGCCCAAGAGGAGCCTGAGTACGTGGCTTGTCCCGTTGACAAACTTGACAAGTCTCCACGTACAGCTGTGCATCTCGCATCATCGTGGGCCACCAGAACCGCTGCAGTCTTCTTATACGCAAAATGGCCGGTGGCATCATGACACTCGCCTAAAAACAAACTACGCAAAGACTCGCTATTCGGAACACACAAGCGTTTATTCCCTGCCTTCTCTAGGAACAGCAAGCCATTGACCATCTCAAACTCGGTGGAAGTTTTCTTATCCTTTGCCTCAAGTCTGCGTATGATCTCAGACATAAACTGGTCCTCGCGATAGGCTCCCACCAAAGACTGAGTAACATTGTCCGTCAAATCGAACTAAGTAATCAGCGCACCTGAGAAGTCCGGTCTGCGTGACAAGGCATCAGCAACCTTGTTGTACTCCCCTTTGAGATACTGAGGGTCAAAGTCATATTGCTCAATGACTTCGATCCAACGCT